GATGCGACGCGAGATAGAATGCAAGGCACCAGGCCTGACTCCTCTTTGCCGACGGCTCTAGATCGCCTGAGAACATGGCCGGCCCACGAGTTCCTGCACGTCAAGCGAGACTGGAATCAGAGCGCAGACAAGTTAGCCAACACTGCATTGCATCAGCAAGAGGGCACAGTAGTTACCTCGGAGGCAGACCACGACGATTTGGTTGTCCTCAACCGGCTCCAGGAGCTCCTGCTCCCGAAGGACTAAGGGCTATCGCCCGGATGGCTGCGACGACGCGATCGCGGACACGCTCAAAAACTCGGCAGGGGTGTTGCAACTAGATGTGGTGCAACGCATTAGGACGGATCGGATTCTGAGAGCTCAAAACGAAGAGAAGTGGGTCGTGAACCTCAAGGCGTACCTGTCAGGCGACTTGGAGGACCTGGGTGCTGGCGCAGCGCGAGCTTGCAGCAAAATCGCGAACGACTACGACGTAGACGGCGGTGGACTGCTCCTCTACTGTCCACGCGCAGGAAGAGACGACGGCGAACGGGACCGCTTGGCGAAGCTGGTGGTGCCGGAAGACCTGCAACAAGACGTACTGCGCCATTACCACACGAGTCTGGAAGGAGGACATCAAGGGGTCGGACCATCGCTACGGCTGATTTGCAAATTTGGCATGCTTTTATTGGTATGCCAGGTAGCAATAATGACATCAATGTGCTACACGCGTCACCATTAATTGCCAAGTACGTAGATGATAGTGTACCTCAATTTTCGTACGAGATATGTGGCTCTACCTACGACTTTTTAGGGTTTAGCGGACGGGATCTATCCAGATTGGAAATGTTTTGTAAAACCATCTCAGCACCCGCAGACGAGAAACAGCAGAAATTTGCATCATCCATAAAGCTCTTCGTAAGAATGTGGAACGTGCATTTGGAGTCTTACAATTTCGGTTTGCGGTTGTGGCTAGACCTGCACTGTGTTGGTCCTTAGGAAAACTGAAGAAAATCATGCAGTGCTGCATTATACTCCACAACATCATCATTAGTGATGACCTTGCAAGTGGACAGAACACTTCAGTGTACTCGTACACAACTACTCGATCTGGATATCGACGTCACAAATTTCAACATCTTCCTATTCACACATCAGACGCGTTACCTACTTTGATTATTGAGAAGTACATATGAGTGATGAATTCCGCATCTCACTTTTAAACTAAAAATGGATTTGGTTGAGCACATCACATCTAAATATGAAAAAGGACAAATATTCACCTTGTTTCTTTCTTCTTTCAGCGTATGTTACTTCATTTACTCTAATACTTGTTTTTTTTTTGCTTCAGTAAGAGATACTCTTTGCCAAATTCTGAGAGCCCATCTGTCGTTGCGCACATCATTGACATTTCAGCTTGTTCTTTTAACGACCTCTGTTGACTTTTCATTTTCTCCACCTTTCTTTTTGCAATCTGGAGCTGCTCTTTAGGGTTTCCACTTGTACCGTAGTTGCTGCGGCCAATTCGCGTTGCGAGTGCATTATAGCTTTGTCGACTTGTCCTTCTAAGTGAAGCTGCTCCACTTTCTTTTTCCATGCGGGCGCAGGACGTACAAAAGACTGACTACCTGCAGGAGGCTGAAAGACATCAGCATGAAGAGCAGGATCGTAATCACCAGTGACTGAGTCAAACTCCGCAGTGTCACTAGAGGTATTCACATCTACAAATAAAACAAATAAATAAATATAAAAATTGACAAAACTAAAAGGATAAAACATAGCGCACCTTCATCACCCCGTTCGTGAACCTCTGCTTCATTTTCTAGGCGAGATCGTTTACGGGGGCGCGGAATGTCGCGCATAAAGCGCGCACTTTCTTTGAGAAAATCGTAACAATGGTGAAGCTTCAGCCCAAAGTCACGGGTTTCTCTTGCTTTTGGCACGACCAGACTTCACAGCTTCCTCATGTTCGCATAATGCATTAGCATTTAATTGCTCTCGCTTTGCTGTAAAGCTAATGGCAGCTAACCGAATATTCTTTGTCTGTCCAGCCACTGTGTGCTTCAGGTTGAACCTGTAGATGCAGTACGTGTGAAGCGTTAGTGTACACTAATTTGTATACATTGAGACTATGTCATGTACCACGGCCACGCAGGAGGATTATAGGGCAACGTCAGGGAGCGACCATCGGCTTTGCAGACCCTTGTTTTCTTGTAGTCTTCTCCTAGCTGAGTGTACGTCTGATGAATTCGGTCCCAAAAATGTGTCACGTCCTGGTCGGTGCTGATGCAGTCATCCTCTGAAATGTTGGTGTAGGCTCTGCAGAGGCGGATGTCCTCTTCGTGACTCCACGGAGCTGCGTTGGGCATCGACCTGCCATCTTCGGGATTGGAGATGGGAGTTTCAGTGCGGTGAAATTTGTAGTGTTGTGAATAGAATAGGAGCCTCCAATTCACTTTGTCTCTATCGTAGTGCACGATCAATTTCGTGTGATTACTTAATCGTTACGTCCGTATCAATTCGCCGTTGGGGTTCCATTTTTGCAATAGCTTGCATCATGTGTAATTTTGCGTAACTATTAATACCGTTGGAGGTGCTCTCAATAATGTTTTAACCCGTAGAGTACATTTTCTGTAATCATCTAAAAAAAAAACAATTAGAAATTGGAAATTCCAACTTGGAATTGTTAGTATTTTAATATTTTAATACTATAAATCAAAACATTCGTTGCCTTCTCATACACATAATTAGTTAAATAAAGGAAAAGGGAAGAGATAGAGAAGCTCATCCCAAAAGATTCAGGAGTGATATATACCGCAAGCTACACACTTGCAGTTATCGCTTGTGTGAATCTAGGATCGCAATGCAAAAACTCTCCTTGCTATAGCACATCTCGCACTTTTGAGTACGGCACAGAGCCATACAACGTCACTCGGTCAAGCAGTCCTCCCTCGTTTTTTCCACTAAGAGTCTCTTGGCGCCGTCTCCTGCAATTAGGAAAATCACTCTAGATCTACCATCTGAGTAGCTCTAGCAACTGCATCGATTCTCTTTTCGATACACCAGACTGGACCTGTAACTTGGTCGTTATCCTTGCGTGGGGATGTTGTGGGTGTTGTAAACTTGGTGGCCACTGCATTAAGGATTCTGGACACTTTGTCCGCACGTAGCGACGCTCGTAATACTTAAATTTCTCTACAAGTGTGGGAGACACGAGGCAAACTATGAATATTTTTACATCTAAGTAACAAATAAATTGTCGTTTTACTGTTCTCAACGTCCCGACTTTTTACTGCCATTTTCCAGTAAAAAGTGAACATGCTCAATGTATTACGAAACATTTTATTTTTATCACTTGAATGGTGCGCAACGGTCTAGTTAAGGTAAAAAAAAAAAAAAGAAAGGCGAAGGAATGGACAGTAGTGGTGTTGTCCGTGTTCCGCCAATGACGTCTGAAATGGAGTAGCTGTCATGGCCCATGCGTGGGATGAAGGTCACCTTGTTGGGGAGCACGGGAAGAAGGCTAGGGCTCCAAAGAAGTCAAAAACGGAGTAAGCTGGAGTTTTCAGCTCGCTGAACAACTGATAGGGACTGGCAATTAACACGGACAACCCTTGCCGCACACCATACAAAAAAATATATGATGTAGTGCCCCCCCCCCCCCCCCTACGAGTGGCGGTGTCAACGCTAGGATGGACCTGGTGTGCGACAAAACGACTGCTCAATAGGCGGGCATTGCGGCAATCGTTTTCAAACGCGGTACGACCACGATCTAATAGCCACACGTGTTGGTGTAGGAGTCGCATGCGCTACTGCGATCCCAAATGACGCTTTCATCGTTGAATACGTGGGTGAGATACCGCAAGAAGTAGACGCGTTAAAGCGTCCCGATCGCTGTTACCTTGTGGAGCTGAAATCCAAGTCCTTATGGGACGAATCAATGAGCGTGTTCATCGACGCAGCCAAGTGCGGCAACGAAAGCCGGTTCATTACTCATTAGTGTTCGCCAAAAAAAACTGAACCTCGCGATAAATCGCTCGTACAATTGCGTATAAGTAGCTCTGCACGATAACAAAAGCACTTCAGACCTGGTCTACTAATCATTCAATGTTATATACTACATTTTTCATTAAATAATTTCTTACAGATCAAATAAACCAAGGATATTTGGACAGTTAGCAAAGTTGATGTTGTCATTGCACACGAAACCCAGGTCGACCAAAACATTTTCATTGAGTAATTGTCCTCTAGTTTTTCCTGAGAAAGACTACGGTTGTTTATGTTCGACAGACTGTGACTTATGCATCGTTCCGCGATCTAGCCCCCTCGTCACCAAGGTTGAAAGAGGATGTAAATTTGTCGATTACGAGTACCACTCATAGTTTTGCGTCGCAATGAGTCAACCAGACGTTAACCGAAGGGAGGCGATTACTAACGAGCACAAGGCATCGGTTGCACTACTGAGTGCAATTAACGCCATGCTGCATAAACGCATACATTGGAGCACTTCTCTTCGTTCCGTCCAGCACTTATATCGATTCCAAGGACTTCTTCTCTCCGCACGCCAACACGGTGCTCGTGTCGATGCAAACTGCGGTGCTCGCCGGCAATCAGCAGCAGAATGACGCCATCGGCAGCCTGCTCCATGATTCGCAATTGGAACTAGGACTGGAGACGGAAGCACCTCGGCAACAACAACAGGTTATATCACCAGCACCGCTTTCTCCTCTAACTCAAATCCTGCCAAAATTTCACGTCAACCGATGATCGCAAAAGAACAAAGTGCTTTTGATGAAGTGATGAACGCGTGCGGCAATTCCTACATCTCTACACCAACCAACACTTGATGCGAGAAATCTGGATATCGCCGCCAACCAGTTGCAGTCACTACGACACCGTCTCGAGACCAACCGACAGAACTGTGAGCAGGTCGAGGATAATTGTTGCGTATTGCGCTACCACGACCAGGACATCGCTATAACAAATTTCATCCGCAACTCAAGATTGGCCCCATTGTTGCAGTTTGACGCGGCTAGCCAGAGCCTAAACACCGCTGAGCCCACGGATAATGCTCCTCCCATGACCGATCCGTAAGGTGGTCAAGACGAAACAACTGTTGTAGGTAACTCGGCCGAGGTCGGGGGAAGCGCCCCTTGTAAGAGCAAATCTACTATTTGAAGTGCGAAAAATATCTCCAGAAAGGTTGTAAACTTTTTCGAGTTGATAATTCGCAGCAGAATAGAAAAGCCGCGCATAATACATAATAAAACAATCACCACCACGATTGCTCTGGAATCTCACCCTGCTTGTGCTAGTAAATCATTATCCATATCATAGCCCAACAACGTTGGGAACGGAAGCGTGGTGGCGGATGTCTAAGCGCGCTAAGAGAATCTGAGAAACTAAACTCAAATACACCATGATATTTACTAAAACATTATGTAGTACGGCTAAACAGGATAAGGATGCATTTGGATCCTATGCATGCGATTCATAGTGTGCTAAACAAATTCAAATATAGCATTTAGTATGGCACATTTGACCGTCGTCTCCACTGCAAAGTGCTGTTGCTTACCCGACGTTGAAACATCATCTTTTAACACAAAGATATTATTAGCTCGCTATGAAACTGAGCACGGCACACACACAACTAGATCTATCTTACGAAGCCGTCTTCGTTGTTCTTTGCAAACTCCTCGAACTGCCACTCCATAACACCACGTGCCAGATACGAGCCAAGCGGAAGCTGAAGCGACTTCACCTCCGCACTAAGCAGAGCCAGCTTTCCGTCAAGCGTTCCTCGGCAACCCCGAAGCTCCACCTTGCTCCTCCAGCGCACAACGCAGCATCCGCTCCACCTCTCGTCCATTTTCCTGCAGCTTTTCATGAACCCCTCGAAATGCCTGAAAGTGAACTGTTTTTGTGTCACCAAGATAGTTCTCTTCCCGGCCTTCGTTTGCCGCTGTCACCATCTTGTCAGCAAGCAGCAGGATTTGCGAATGACAGAGCCTGAAGGGTCCACCTTTGTGCGCCTGCCATTCTGCCGATTGCCACCTTTTATTGCGAGCAAAATGAAGTAAAAGAAAAAATGAAGTAAAAAACTCGCGGGCTTCTTTAAGCTTGCTAATTGGCAACAGGGGAGTTCCATGCTTTTTCTCGCTGTCGCCCTCAATAATTGCAGCTATTGGCGTCCCAGGCCCTGCTTCGGTTCCTTGACTTGACCGCGGCGTTGTCCCACGTGTTGTGCTGGCGGACACCTCCACTGCATAAGCAGACTTAGGTAGTGCAATAGCACCACCCATCATCGCACACTTCTCACAGCTCGCACCTACGCAGACGCTTGCGACGGAGGTCTGGCGCCATTGTGCAGCTTGCAGCTCGCAAAGCGAAAGTAACAAGCAAATCCACAGAATGACCTGTTAGTGCCGCGTGTGATAACGGAATTATCAGTATCATCTCCAACAATCGGTTTTGAATCACGATAGAAAAGAGGTGTAGCGTTTTCCTAATTCAGTTTTGCTCTGGTTCGACAGTTGACTTTGTTATTGATTGACCTGCCCATATCTAGATATTATGTCGTCGTACATTAGAAACACAAGAGTACCCTACTTATTTCCCGTTAGAACCTGTGCATCTATGCACAGTTTCTAACTCCGTTGCTGCGGTTGGGGTTACAGTTGAAGTCGAAAAAAACACCTTTACTGAAACGCGGAGATTCTTTCGTGCCTCTCCAAGGGTTCAACCTCCATATTTGGTCTTTCACATAGACGGAGTTCCATGGCTACTTCTTCAGACTTAGTGTATACTTTGCCGTCCCTCCACCCTCTTGCTCAACTCTATTTCCAAAACGAATTGGGTACAATGACCATTGCACTATAACCTTAATTCGTGATAGTACCGTACCAAGCCGAAAAGTTTGCCCTATGTAGATGGCTACAGATGAGGAAACAACTGGGTAGCAGGGCAAAAAAATTCGGACACATTTACAAACCCGCGGTCGTCCCATAGTGTTTCCGACGAAACGATCAATAGCTATATCAACTCAAAATCGATTTTATTTCGGTAGCCATTCACAAAACTTTTCTAAACAGCCAGAACACCTAAATATCAGAATTTTGCCCCAAAAATGTCCTTAGCTTTCAGCTTATGAAACAACCTTAAATACCGTAGAGTTCTCACCTTGAGAGAACTTTTGCTACGACCTAGAATATGCTCTTCGCAAGATGACTAAGGTTTTGTGTTGGTATCGCCCGGGCATATCGGTGCGGTCAGTTCTACCCGAAGTAATGAGAGGCATCGCTGTGCATTTTTTCATCGCAGTCAACAACTCGCAACCAAGATCATTAATGGCGAAATTTTCAATTTCTCATTCAAAGTTCAGTGGAATCATTTCGTAACTACACTTGTGGCCGTCGTGAACGAGCGTCCCATTGCACTCTCTGATTCTCACCAAACGTATCAACAGATTCAGCCTCACTATTACACCTTGACCGTCAATTGAACAGCAGCAGTGTTGACGTCGACATCATCTCGGCAACGAGTGGCAGCGTTGTAGAGCGCCCACGACCGCGATAGACCGTTATCCATCGTTGCGTTTTTGAGGTTGCGTAACGACTCCATCGGATTCACCCTGGCTGCGTTTACTAGAAGGAGCGAGAGCCAGGTAATGGTGGTGTTGACCTCGACCACAATCGGCTCCTTTGAAAGGATGTCATTCCATTCCTGCTCCACGAACGTCAAGGTACGGGCCAAGTCGTTAATCGGAGACACCGGGATCATCTGGATACCATGAATGGCGTACTTCTCATCCAAAAACCAAGTGTTGTAGTACACCTTGTTGTCGAAGAAGATGCCCGTGACGTGGTTACGGACAATCTCAGGCGGATGAACCGTGCTGTCCGAGGTCATGAGGAAGTACGTGCGAATAGCGTGTGCGTCCAGACGAAGCATCAGACTTCCGAGATCTTCCACAGCCTTTTTACCCGTCACGCGGCCCCACAACGTCATACCGTAAAAGAAGTTGATATCCTCTGAAGTACTCTCCTCATCCTTGCCATTATCGATCGATGTCACACCGTGAGAGTATGAGTGACCCAAGTACCATGAAAAATGACGGAAACGAGGGAAGTACTTATCTTCCGCGCTTGGGTTTACCACGTCACGAAGCATCACCCAGATAATCCGCTCCAGCTCCGGCATGCGAGACCAGTTCGGGTCCAGGTGCTTCAGCATAGCCGACGCCGTGATGAAGTAGCCGTAGTGGTAGTGGTGGTCATTGTACATACCGTTGCCGAAATCGGTGTAGATACTGCCCGTCTTGAAGATCGAGCTCGAGATGATTCCACGATACAGCGTGTCGTACATGAGCGGCGGTGAGAGCGAGTTGTTGAGTACCGGCTCAATCATATTCTCCAGTTTTTCCAGACAGTACGACAGGAGTAGCGTGTCCGGACCCACCACCGAGCTGTCCGCCGCCATCAGACACAGCGACGCATACTTCTGGAAGTATTTACCGTTGAAGTACCAGCTATCGGCGTCCCAGTCTGACCAATTGCCCATGATATCCTTTTGTAGCGTACGCAGCATATCCGTCTCCAGAACAACCCACGGTGACGGCTTGTGAGCAGGGTAGAAGTCCACCTCGAAGTCAGCTTCGGGCTCCACGAACGACCACATCGGGTTCGTCGTCACTTGACCTACCATAAGACCACGCGTAGCCGAGTGCATCACTATCGCCCCAGGACTCGTCGTTTTGGTAGGAGACCCAGCCATCGACTCGATCTGGTGTGGCAGTGCGAAGTGCAACAGGCCCACCGATCTACACGAACTGCCCTCCACGTCCCAATGTAACGAGTAACCCGTGCGCGATTCCATCGACACACTACCACCGAGTACCATACACGCCGCGTATTCATCGTAGACGGTATCATCAGTCGCGTCTTCTGGCAGCAGGGCCACTCGAATTGTGCCAGAGTACCCCTTGTCCGCTACCAACGACGAACCAGAAGCGTTCACAGAGAACACCACCGACTCCTCCACACGGAGTGAAAGGCTATTGTCACTGGCATACAGTACCCACGTTTGGCTGTTGTTCAGGTGGATAACAAACTTGCCCGGCGCCGAGTCGTCCACGTACGTGATGTTGTGCTCGGTATCAATACGAGGCGTGAGTCCGTCATATTTAGCCGACACGAAGGCCATGCCACTCACCAGCGCTGAATCCATACATTTACCAGTAGCCTCGTCACATGTACGTAGCTTAGCACCTCCTTCGTCCCATTCGTAGACCTCATACGTCGGCTCGTATGAAAAGAATTCCTCCGACGATAGCGTCAGGTCGTTGTGGTACGAGTGGTTGTAGTACTTGACAGTACCGTTGACCTCCGACCCAATCTCCCTGTACGTGTACGAGTAGCAGGTCTGCAGTCCGTACGGTGCCTCACGCGGCAGCTTCACCGCGTACGGGTTGGACCAGGCGGCGTAGTTGGACACGTTTTTGAGATCCGTGACGTGAATGAGATTGCCCCACCAGTCGTTGGTAGGAATGGGCTGATTGAGCGCTTCCTCAGCAACGTTGATGATCGGCACGAATTTCTCAAGGCTACCATTGCGTTCGAAGAGTTCCTCAGATGGCCCGTCGGTGCCGAACGGTGCGAAGAACCCGCCACTGGTCGAGCCTTGTTGAAAGGTGGTAGTTTTAGCTGGAGCGTTAGGGACAAGCGTCCCGATCAACTTCTCGGTGGCACCGCCGACGGTGTCTTGAAGGAAGTTGTAGTCTTCACCGACGTCGGGATCAGCGCTCGATGTTGTAACACGTCGAACTGCTACTGTTACTACAGCAGCTTGTAAAAGAGCGAGTACTTTCATCGTATCCGAGCTTTGCTCTCGTTGTCAGTGACAGTAATGTGCAACAGAGTGCGCAGTAGGCGGCGAGCGCGAAAGTGGACTGCGATCTAGATTGGTGCCAGCTTACTTCCCGTCCATTCCGTCGGGTGGACCCGGCCATCATGACCGTCATGATAGAGGCACACGGCTCGTGCTTAGTATGCATAAGCCGTGGCGCAGGGTCCCCGTAAGCATTGCTTACGGGGACCCTGCGCCACGCTTTGCACAACCAGAGGGTCAACTTGACCGTCAAGGAACGTGTTTGGGGCTGGGAGGTTTGTTGCGAGCGTGCGAACTTTGAACTGCGCTATTACAACTGAAGAACCTCTCGGAAGTGAAAATGTAGCTAGCTTATTGTTAAAGAGAGGAATCACTCTCACTCGCTGAAAGGGTCGGTGACAAAATTACAAGCGATGATTTTCGCAAGAATTATATTAGTTGAGAGCGGTTGGTTCCCAATGAATCACTATCTAGGAATGAAGATCCGGATAGCAGCAATATATCAATGAACGACAAAACTTGTCGCCAGTGCTGGCGTAATGACACATCTGGGCAGGCTAATTCCAGTTGTAAAGTTCCTTTAAAGAAATAATAAGAACACTCGAATTAAGACATGTTCATTCGTGCACCCCGTTTTCACGCCTTCGGACCTTCTTTAACTAGAGTGCTGAGTAAAAGCACAATATGATCTAGAATATCTTACACCAAAAACATATAGCATAATATGTTTCCCTAACCAGCAATGTGCAACATCCACGTTCCCGAATTTTTTACAGTACTTATCGAATTCTTTTCTCCATTTCTCGCCGATATTTTCAACCAAGTCGTATTTTCAAAGATGGAGAATCTTGGTATGGAACCTGTTGTTCTCAGTTGAGTGTTGGCAGTACGGCTTTTTTTGTTACCGCGGTAGCTACTCCACCCTCCAAGGGAAGGCCGGACTCAAATTACCTACCTCTTACCAACCAGTAGTACGAACAGAAGCATGACCATGTGAGCGCGGTATGCACCTGCAATACTACGCGCCGGTCGAGGAGGACAGCGACGCGAAATGACATATCCAAAGATATGCACGGACGTTAACGCTTCAAATTAGTGCAGTTTTACATTAATAGTCGTTTTAATGCCTAGTCCGTAAATCAATATAGCGCTGTAGTATAAGAGTATGAAAGCATCTTCATGAATACATGCAACAGTATGCGCAGCAAGACTAGATTCGACCGCAAGCGATAGGTAACGACATCAAGTCGTGTATTGTCTGTTACAAGCCTTCTATAGGAAAAAAAAAAAAAACACACACACACATAAAAATCAAATAGAAGGCCAATTTACCACCAACATAAGAGTATGAAAGTGGGATCGTATCAGGATCAGTTAATGTATCGAAAACGACAACTACAGTAACAACAACGCTGGTCAGGTGCATACAAACGCAAAAGATTGACAGAAACCAGATTTTTATTTTCTTACTAAGTCAGTTCTATAATGTGTATGGTTTTCCCTCCGCAGCTCGATATATCGTAAAAAAAAAAATCCATGCGAACGGGACAAAATATAAATGGATTCGCTTAGGTATTTCTATTGTATGACACTGTGTGTAAAACACAACACACGGACATGAATTAATCCCAGTTGGGCTTTATGGTTATTAATACTTCGTACCAAGTATAAATGTCTATCCGGCTAGACATCCAGATATTTTTTTAGATACACATGTGAAATTAAATCTCCAATAATAATGGAGTCAAAAATAATAGAAAAATATAAGAGAGATTCTAGTAAGTAATATGATGCTTATAGAGAGAGGTTCGTCTGTACATCTCTTACTCTCGTTGGTGCAGTGCTGGTAAAGTTCCTGACTTTAGGCCCACAGTTAAAAAGTCCAGGATGGCCGAAAAAGCATAACCCGTGGGCTGTTGGCTTTTTTTTTTTTTTTTTGCAATAACGGCCATCTACAAAAAGCATTTTTATTTAAACATCCTTTTGCTAAATAGTATATCAAGGAAGAATGGGGCGAGAGTAGCCGCCGTCACGTTCAGGCACTCCATTCGACGAGTATAGTTGCCGACATCAGGGTGCGCATGGCGAGTGTAGTCGCCGTCATGTTCTACTGGTATTACAACACGGGAAGGGCACGGGAAACAAACGAAAAGAGTGGGTGAAGAACATGTAGAGCGACGCGAAGAGCTCTGATAAAGCTGTAAATAAGCGCTGAAGATACGATGAAGTGTACGAAGGTGAAGAGCTTGATAGACACATGGGGTACCGAGACGGACGCGGTGGAGAGGAAGATGGACCCAATGTAGTGCACGAAGAAGTGGGTGGATAGTGAGACGAATGCGTTGAAGTGCACGTAAAAATGTGGAGAACACGGTGGACGAGGAGAAGATCGTAGATGTCATGGCGGAGTGCACAAAGGTGGAGAATTTATATACATGATGCATTGAGTGACAGACATGGTGGAGAAAGAAACAGATGCGTTGGAGAGCGTGTAATCCACGATGATGCTCGCGGAGTATGTATTAGGATGTTGCTCAACTTTTGACGTTGTAATTGAGGCAGATACGATCGAGGCTATGCTAGTGGCCGTTTTTGCTTGCAAAGTTTGGCTGATGAAATTGCTGGAGAAGAACACAAAATTTAGTTGTCCGTATTTAAAATTGGAATTGGTCAGGTTGTCACCCAAAGTGCTTTGCTAGTTTCACCTTCTGTCCACGAAATCCTCGCAGTTTGATGGCTTCTTCAGGGAATACGAGATCGTCATGTTTGGTGAATCCTTGCTTCACTGCGTTGCCTATATCTTCAAATTAGTCGGAATTGCTTCTCTCCGGATCTACCTCGCTCAATGCTGTTGCAGCCCGCAAGATTCTGGTGTTTGTACTTGCAGTATCGTGATCGGTACCATCGTATCCAGTACCAATTTCCTCGTCTTCAAAACACCATCAACACCATCCCCGGGTCTTCGTTGTCTCTATATTTGTCTGCATTCACCGTCCATACTGTTGACGGACGGTGTGAATATGTTGGAGAAGCTTGCGGTATCAAGAAGTCCGTGCCTCTCTTCTGGAGATCAGAAGTTTTTTCATGGGATTGTCAGTAGCTCTAGCATCGTTTTGTGTCCGCGGACGAACATGTTGGCTACTATATGATAGTAAAGCGCTTTACTTGCGGCTATGCGGTTGCGCTACACAATGTGAATGAGTCCAAGTTCACTGGACAGACGCTCGCATGTGGCTGTATTGACTGCGATTGAGAGAACTCGCATTGCGAGTTTCGGCAACACACTTTTGGGCCTTTCCAGAGCAAGGGCCTCCCAGTATTCCCAGGGGGAGTCACGAAACTCACCTGACATCATCCTCATGACCCCCCCCCCCCCCCCTGCATCCATGAGAGCATGTCACGTCGCAATTGGGCAATTTCCTCACTGGCGAAGAGACGTCGTTAGTAATATATCGCTATTTTGCCAAGCGTACCGATTCCAGATACAGCGGTCTCAGGCAAATCCCTTGAACACTCCATGTACACAAGATGCAGCGGAAAACCAAACATAAACAATGGTTGCTCGCACTGTTTCCAGCGATCTTTAATACACTCTATTAACGTATCCTGGTGAACGAGAAATTGCTGAAATCCCTTGTAGATATCGCGAAAGGAGTGAACAACATCTCCGACCGTGTTTTGGTCTCTTTGTAGACAGTACGAAGCAAGCCATAATGATGCAGTAATAGCCTCAGCCTCTTTGAGTTCATTCCAGAACTGTGGATCTCCTAGTACATCCAGAGAGGACGGAACTCTGGTACTGTCGGTGAAACATCTGAAGCGATGACTGTACGCGGAGCAACTACACGAAACACCCGTGCATCGAGTTCTATCTTGTTACACACAGTGTCCGCATCCCCAACGGCTTACCGTAAAACTTCGCCATCATTTTTCTTGCGCTCAACAACCATTTTGGTGACGAAGCGTTCAAGGTGTTGACGGCTGTGGCGCCGTTTGTGGCAACACAGCGAAACGAAGACCTCAAAACAGCCTTGACAAGGTTAGTTACTGCGTGCAAAAAGCAGAATGGACAAGATTGAGGCCGTCGTAATACCGGTGTCCGATGAGCACGCCCACACTGCCCGCATTGTCGGTGATTATTGCACCAACTTTCCACTTCTCGCGCTGCGTTTGAATTAACACTTGTTCCGATTGCTCAGCAATAGTAATCCCGTGGTGTTTATCCCCCACTGGCAACAGGTCGTAAGTAAAAAGTATTCTAAATAACGCGAGTTGGCAGCCTAACTAATGATCTTTTGCGACGTTCTGCCTGACATCGGAGACTAAGCTAACCCAACCATTTGTCCGCTCTTCCATTTCCTCCAGCGCTTCTGTATCTATCGTTTATTGGTCTTTTAGAATACGGTTACCCAGAGTTCGACGCGAAGGAAGGACTTCTGATATCACTGGCCGCAACAACTCGAGGAATCGCAACGTTGACGGTTACTCAATATATCTGTCGGCGAGATGATTATCAGCGTGTAATTCAATGAGTGAACGCTCAATCTTCTTGTTTACCGCCTTTGAGAACTTGCGCTTCTGTCTTTTCATTTTATTAGCCGATGGTAGTTTGTGCTGTTTACGATGTGGCTGTGGGCGCTGTGGACTCTAAGGCGAACGCTTCCTGAGAACCAGAATACGACGCGCGCGCGATTGAATAGCAATTCGCATGCTGCTTCGTACTAGCTTTGGCTGCAACCGCGTTCTTGAGGTCGAATCTTGTAGACCAGGGGCAGGTGTTTTTCTAGATGGGAAGTACGACTCGAATTCCGTGTTCCTTGTGGGGTTTCCGGCTGGCGATGAGCTTATAGATGGTGGCGAAAGTTAAGCAGCTTGGTAATACTCGCACATCGCTGACATAATTGCGTGCTCTACCGATGATCACTTTCGGCGAGGTGGTGGTTATGTTGTTGTTGGCCGCTGCCCTGCAAAAGCTCTACTTTCGAAACGTATAGCCCCCTCCTGCCTCTCCGAAGTTTTTCAGGCGCGTGAAGCGTCTGGCCCCTGGGCAGGCTAAACGCCCATGGTAGCAAGATGCTTTTCTCTTTTTGAAGCCAGCGTGAGGCCGATAGTCATCTTGGCCTAAACTCATTTGGCCTGTCCATGGCCGAATAGCCTAAACCCCGTGGCGAAACCACGTTTAGGTGGCCGAACGGTAAAGGCTATGGTGCCAACACTGGTTGGTGCTCAGTTCACATTATTGATGATGGTGTTCGATGATTTGCTGGTGATCCGTACGCAACGCCTTTGCTTTACCCTTACACGTACAAAGTCCAATAATATTTATAAAACAATAGCTTTTTATAAATTAAATAATATTAATAAATATAATTGGATCGATTCCGGAAGTTTGACTGCTGTCCATTTCCACTTTCCAAAAATAGATTTGACTTGGAATTTGAAGGAGGGATACCATATTCCAATGATCTTATTTAGAGACGAGAAAGGATAGATGTGAGATCCTAAACGGACTCCGCAATCGCGCCATTACAAGTAAGTGAATATTTTTATATACTACAGTACCGTATTAGTAGTAGTAAAAGCCGGTTATAAGAAAATGAATAAACATAATTCTGTTTGAGGTAACAAAAAACTAACTATGTTTTCAGAAAATTTGCGGTGAAAACATTTTTGAAAAATTGGTACCAGTAACATAAATTCGTAGCACTACATTCAATAGTTAGGCTAGCATGAGGTAAGTTATTCAAAGAGTCCAGTAGGCACACACTAATTATAAAACGGACATCGATTAGC